GAATTTGGATTTTATTTTATAAATAGGGAAATGTCTAAGCATTCTGAACAAGGGAGAGGCACAATCTTCGCTCTCTTTTGGGGGAACTCAGTTTATACTAAGGTAAAATAAATCAGAGAAGGTGTCAGAGTTCAGAGCAGAAGAAACCATGACTCCGAAATTAGATGCACTACCCAGCGTTATAGTGAGTAACTGGGGGTAGATTCAGATAATGAAAAGAAACTCAGACAAAACTAAAAGCAAAGGGAAGAGGCCTGCATTTATTGGGGTAAATGGGGCTCTGCAGCAAATGTCTACTGCATTCTTGTGCCAATGCCACCCAGTCTAGACACCTTTATGCAGGACTCAAGACTACCTTATCTCTGACATCAGTAACTCAAGTGTGTAATGGCTTAATACAAGAGAGGTTGTGTCTCACCCATGTCATAGACCAAGACTATTCCAGGTGGTTGGGTTGGGAGTCAGGCCCTTTCACGCACAGCTATTCAGTGACCCATGCTGAGGGTCACTCTGATATCTCACCAAGAGGATTCCAAAAGGCTGACTTTCCAATTGACCAGTGAGATAAAAGTGTGGAAGAATGCATGTGGGAGGATTTAATGGAACAAGTCTGGAATTTCTGCTTCTGTTTCACTGTTCAGGATTTGGTCACATGGCTGCACCTAATTGCAAGGGAGGCTGGGGAAATAAAGTCTGACTGTGTGTCCAGGAAAAGGAGAAATAATTATTTTGAGAAATGGCTAACAGTCTTGACCACAAGGACCAAGGAGAGAAATGTAGTTAATGCTAACATCTGTGGATTAGGAGGAAAAAGGGCAATTAGAGAGTAACAGCAGCAACAACAATAAATATAATGAACATCTATTAACTTCTTGTTGTATGTGGAACATTGGGCTTAAACATCACTGTGGTCCTGTAAAGAAGGTACAGTGATTTTTATGTGACTGATGAGTAAAATAGGGTTTGGCGAAGTGAGAAGGGCCCTAAGTCATACAGCTATTAGGCAACAAGTCTGACTCCAAAGTTCATGTTGATTAACATGGAGCTGGAGAAGGGTTCATGAGAACTGTAGGAAGAAAACAAAAATAGTTCATTTGTCTGCTGCATTCCTGTGCTAACGCCACCCAAGCTAGACACCTTTATGAGGATTCAAGAGTCCCTGAGACCACCCTCTCCTCTGACATCAGTTTCAAGTCTGGGAATCCCCAAGTCCACACTCAGGTTCAGTAACTCACTAGAAACATAGAATTCCCTGAAAGCTGTTAATACTCCCATTTATGGTTTATTACAGCCCTTTCCGAGTAGAGTCATGGTTCACTAGCTAACCTCTCCCAGCCACTATGTGCTATAATACACATGATGTAGTGCTGAGCCGAACCTTGATGTCCAGTTTTAATTAGGGGTTGGTCCTGTAGGCAGGGTTGACTACCCATTTGGTTGACATTAGCCTCTAGCCCGTGTGGGGGTCAAGCTGATACCCTACGGCCCAAGGTTCCCAGACAAACAAAAACACCCTTATCAGGCAGGACATTCCGTGGGCTTAGAGATTACTTTCTTGGAGCTGAAAGCTCATTGCTTTATCAGTAGGTTTTGTCATTTTACCCACTGCTACATTTTAGACTTCACTTTCTAAAACAGTTGGTGGGATTTTGCTGTGGTTTCCCTTGTATTGGCTGTTACTACTACGCATTTAGTTCCATCTTCTCTGGTAGATTTTATGATGAATACAGAATCTCAGTGCCTGGTACCAGTGGTATTGAATAAAGGATTGTTGAATAAATTGTAGAATAATAAAATGAAAAAGCATTATTCTGTATAAATGGTTATAACTTAGACTTGGAGAAAAGTTTCCAGTAGTAGAATATTTTACATTGTGTGGACAGATTTGTTTAGGACATCTTGCAATGAAGGGCCTTTCTACTTAATTTTTCAGTGTTCTTGTCATCCATTACTATCTGAAAACTTTTAGGGTCTGAACCCATAGCTATGCTTCTCTTTCCTCTGCTCTTGTCCCACAAGACTGACCGTGAGGTGAAGCTTATTTTCCCATTCACTTCCTTGAAAAAAATCAAACATGACTTGCAACAGGGAAAAATTACCTGTAGAGAAGAAGTAGTTTTGGTGAACAGATGTCCACCCTTTGATGTACAGGGCAATGATCCTCTTCAGTGTTGCTTTCCCTTTAGGAATGGATTCGAGCTACTAGGAGATGTGGATGTCGCACTCCCACCCAGGGTCTCCCTGTGCATTGTCCTGGAGCCCTGGATGCCTATATCCCTAGTCACCTTCACCTTCTTCTGTCCCTTCCTGACTCACTTCTGTGGTCCAGGACTTGGAATCGCCTTTTTTGAATCCTGAAACAGCTAGGTCACATGTCACAATACAAATTTTGGATGTTCTTACCTCAGAATTGTTTGAGTCACTAGGCCCTGAAAGGAAAATGTGTTCTATCTGAATCTGAAGAAATACATTTATTTTAAAAGATGGGTGACACTTGGTATTTCTTTCCCAGCAAATACCATTTGGGGTGTGTGTGTGTGTGTGTGTGTGTGTGTGTGTGTAATATCAATTTGAGTTGGAATATCAATTCATTGCCCAGACTGGAGTGCAATGGTGTGATCTTGGCTCACTGCAACCTCTGCCTCCTGGGTTTCCAGCAATTCTCATGCCTCAGTCTCCCAAGTACCTGGAATTACCGGTGCCCACCACCATGCCTGGCTAATTTTTCTATGTTTAATAGAGATAGGGTTTCACCATATTGTCCAGGTTGGTCTCAAAGTCCTCACCTTAAGTTATCTGCCTGTCTCAGCCTCCTGAAGTGCTGGGATTACAGGTGTGAACCACTGCGCCTGGCCATTTGATGTATATTTCTGCTTTGCTGTACTAAGCTTTAGGATTCAGAGGGCTATGGAGTGGACACTTCTGGAGTAGGTTATAATAAAAGTGGCTCATGTATGAGATGGGTTTCTAAATTACATGATTATTCTATAAAATTTCTCATTTAAGCCATCTGCTCAGGCTGCTATAACAAAATGCCATAGACTTGGTAGCTTAAACAACAGACTTCAATTCCCACAGTTCTGGTAGGTGGGAAGTCCAAGGTCATGGTGCTGGCAGATTCCAGTCCTGTATAGAGTCTTCTTCCTCAATTGTAGACAGCTGCTTTCCTGATGTGTGCTCATATGGCTTTTCCTTGGTGCACTCATGTGGAGAATCTCTCATGTGTCTCTTCTTATAAAGACATTGATCCCATTATGAGGGCTCCGCCCCCATGACCTCATTACTTCCTGAAGTCTCATCTCCAGGTTCTATCACATTGAGAGTGAGGGATTCAACATAAGATTTTTTTTTTTTTTTTAAGACAGAGTCTTACTCTGTTGCACAGGCAGAGTGCAGTGGTATGATCTTGGCTTATTGCAACCTCCATTTTCCAGGTTCAAGCAGTTCTCCTGCCTCAGCCTCCCAAGTAGCTGGGTCTATAGGCATGCACCACCATGCCCTCCAATTTTTTGCATTTTTAGTAGAGATGAGGTTTCACCTTGCTGGCCAGGCTGGTCTTGAACTCCTGACCTCATGATCTGTGTGCCTCGGCATCCCAAAGTGCTAGGATTACAGGCGTGAGCCACCTCACCCAGATTTTTTTTTTTTTGAGACATAGTCTCACTCTGTCACCCAGGCTGGAGTGCAGTGGCACAGTCTCTGCTCATTGCAGCCTCCTCTGCCTCGCAGGTTCAAGTGATTCTCCTGCCTCAGCCTCCCGAATAGCTGGGATTACAGGTGCGTGTCACCACGGCCAGCTAATTTTTGTACTTTTTTAGTTGAAATGGGGTTTTACCATGTTGGCCAGGCTGGTCTCAAACTCCTGACCTCAAGTGATCTGCCTGCCTCAGCCTCCCAAAGTGCTGGGATTACAGGTGTGAGCCACCATGCCCAGCCAACATATGAATTTTGAGGGGACACAGTTTAGTCCATAACATCCCCCGTAAAAAATAATTACATGCCCATTATCTGATGAATAAGATAAAAACAAGAGTAATTTTCCATAATTGCTCTTGACATGGAGACAAGGGCAAGATATGGAGACTTAGTCTTGTTTCTTTATGGTTAATTTGATACAATACTTTCCCTAACAGCTCAGAGCCCCTTTTGAGCAAATGACCGAAATATACGGTTAATATATAAATCTACAATTTTCAAGGTAGTGTCCCATAAGAAGGAATGTGGAACTCTATTAATTATACTATTAAAAAACCAGTTTGCTCCCCTCTTTTCCCAATACCACGCTACACATTTCCAGAAGATGGGATTGATGCTCATCCGGTCATACATTTAGCAGCTCTGTTCCCCATCCAAAGGATATGAATATTCTTAGAAGCAGTAACATGTAGTTTGAAAACTTGAGATGTAATTGGGTGAAAACCTCACTGAATTAGTAAGATGTGAATTAGTAGAAACTTATGCTTTGAGTACACAGGGACTTGAACTAAGTTTTAAGAAGCCCCTGTCCTTAGAAATATAATTTACCTGTTACTGGTATAACCATGTTTTCAAACTATCTTTTTTAAAAATACTTTAATGCTGCCATCCTCCTTTTTAGCTAATTCATAAGTTTATTCACTAAGCAAAGGCCCATTTTAGTAGAATTTTAGTCTCAATTGTCATGAAATTTGCAGTAGTGAGCCTAAGTGGATAAGGTTTAACATTAAACTATTTAGCGATGTTTTTTCCTCATTTGTTGAATATGTTTCAAAAATGATCCCCTCCATGGATAAAACAGCTACAAACCCAGTGTCTATTTTAATCATAGCTCAAAGTTTTTCCAAACACCTTTCTCCCTTTTTAGAATTTTGGTAGAATCAACTCTAGCAATACTTTGAAGAGTAAAATGAGAAATGTTTAGACTCCTTGGTTTCACTAACTTTCTTGTATCCCAAATTTCAATTAGTCTCCCTTACCCCTGGGGAAAAGAAATTGATGCCAGGTGGGTCTTTTTCTTGCAGGAGAATGCCGTGAATGGAGAACACCTGTGGCTGGAGACCAACGTCTCGGGAGACCTCTGCTACCTGGGAGAGGAGAACTGCCAAGTCAGATTTGCAGTGAGTGTGCGCTTTACACCCTGGGCTCTGTCTTGCTGGGGAAGACCTGTGAATCTGAATGAATAATAGAGGAATCACCTTGCCTAAATTTCCAAGGAGAGGTTTGGACAAGCCTGTCCTTGTGAGATGGAAACCTTCCCGGATGTTTTCAAGGTTTACAAAGAGAGTTTCTCAAGTTAACATGACTTTCAGGTTCTCACTTGTAATGGTTGTAGGATTCAGTTACGTAGGCCAGACCTTGGTGTAATGTGTTACTTTAGAATGATACCTAGGGTAGGTTTTATGTGTTGGTGGTAGGGGAGAGGGTCAATGTGGATGAGGTAGTGTCTGCTTGTGGAGGGGATATTGAGGTGGGCCAAGGCCTGTGTGTGGAGGAGGGGGCTCTGTCTGTAGGGCAGTGGCCCTAGTGGGGGCTTTACTGGTGGGTGAAGGTGGAAAGAGAGTGAAACACCTGTGGTGGGAGTGGTGTAGGCTAGCAAATAATCCAGACTAAGTTCTAGAGGATCCAGTTCTAGAAATAATATGAGCAATCAACAGTCAGGTCAACTGGAGTAGCTTTTGTTGTTTAAAATCTGCTTTGTGTTCCTATTTAGAAGGGTTAAAGGGTTAAAATCTATTTAAAGGGTTAAAATTCTCTTTACGTTGTGAGGAAAGTGTGGTTGCCAGGTGGTGCATTGTGGAGAAATCAAAACTATAGTGTTGAGAAATTGAACTTAAAGTTTGTGTGTAGTTTTAAATGATTGGTCCAAACAGAGAGTAATGGGAAACTTAGGATAGTAAAGAAGAAAGAAAAGATGTATTCCTTCTTATTTGGGGAGATGAGCACCCGAATTTATATAATTTATTCATGTTTTAATGTATTTGTTTATTACATGAAAGAAATATTTGTGGCAAGATGTAGGGCCTTGAAATTGCAAATGAGTATGTTTTTGTTAATAACTAATAAGGAATAAATCGAATTTCCATCAAAGCTTATAGAAGAATGTGTATGGCCCCCGAGGATTTTAAGCAGACTGCCTGAAAGCACGAAGCCCCAGAACCAAGACCTCTTCCGTTGCTTTAGCTGTTTTAATCCCTAGTTTATAAGTTTCAGTTGGAGAGTTTTGAGAGTTCTGGGGAGAACAGGGTCTGTTTAAGTGAAGCTGTGAATAGATGTCAGGGGAAGGCCCAGATGCACAGGCTCTGGATTGGAAGTCGGGAAGCCTGGAGTTGAATCTCAGTGTTACTGCTTACTGTGTGACATTGACAACTTTTGAGCCTTGGCCACCTTCTAAAAAAGAGAGTAGAACTGAATTATTTTTAATTTTGCTTCTCGACCTGTAATTAATCATTTGCATCTCTTCTAATTTTGTTGTAAATTTAATTGACTTAAATATCAGGATTTCGACTTTATGCACATGTATTTTTAATTAAAGTATAATTGCATGGAATTTGATTAAATTAGCCAAATCCATGAGAAGCTCAGCTGTTTGGGCTAAAATGCTATAAAGAATAAATTAACATTAGAGTCTTAGTTAATTGCATAAACACTGGTCTTGGGATGTAAGATGACATAAAATGGAAAAAATGAAAGCCAGTATTAACTTACATAAGTACTTTTGAACAATTTCTACTGATGGACTATGATTTGTTACAAAGTTATGCCTGATCTCCAGATTGCTCTCTTTAATCCCTGTCTGTCACTTTTCTTGAGGATGGCTACCTCTCTTGACAAATATGTGAACAGATACATATATCCTCCTTGAACCTTGTATCAGTAAGTAGCATTGCTATCTACTGAACATTGTTACTTGTTCACTAATATCTTTAGGTTAGGAAAAGCAAAAAGAGAATAAAGGAAGTTTTAGGTAGAAATAGTAGGAACTGAGAGTTGGGAACATTCTCAGTTTCCTTCTGAACCTTCCTAATAAGTTCATAACAGGTACTTGGCCCTATTAACTAATTTTACAAAATGTCTGAAAGATGAAGAACTCTTCTCCAAAAAACGTTGATTAAATGAAGGAATAAATCAGTGAGGAAGCTGAAGACCTAACTGCTATCAGTTTCTTAGAGCTCAGTTTCTTTACCTATAAAGTGGGGGAAACGCTGTTTTGAGGATTTGATGAGATGATGCATAGTAAGGACTTACTTGGCTCAGCAGCCTAATGAGTTAAAGGCAAAAAAACAAAACAAAACTCAAAACAACAACAACAACAACAAACCCGGAAGGACAAAGACAGGAAATTTATAAAAGAACTACCAATTGCCAAAAAATATCTGGAAAGTATAAACAAAGACATCCCAATTAAAACAACTCAGGAGTCTACTTCATGTGCCTATTAAATTTGCAGAGATTTATAAAATGGTAATACTTACTGCTGCTCGGTTTAGGCTGAGATGGGCAGTCTCATCATCAGCTGCCAGGAGTGTAGGTGGATACACTGTCCTTCACAAAATGGACAGTGTGTACTAAAAGCACTGAAAATCCTCTCTGTCTCACTCCTCACCTCGCATTGTGAGGCACATGTCATCTCTGGCATCCCATTTTGAGAGTGAGATTGGCAAGCAGCAGAGGACCCAGAGCAGGGAGCTCAAGTTGGCTCAGGGGATAGAAGCTTGTTGTAAAGAAATGTTAGATTACATGGGCTACAGCTGAGTATTAGAAGGGAAGGCAGAGAGATGACTTCCAGTATTTGAAGAGTTACTTTGAAGAAAAGAAAAGGGAGTTGCTATCTGTTGTTAGAAATGTAAAAGTCATAGAGCTAGAATACACCAATTCTAACTTTATAACAATAGATAAACGTCACCTGGGAAACCTAACGATGCACACTCCTATTTCCCTCTTTGCTCCAAAGGCTGATTTAGTATACTTGGAGTTGGACTTGGGAATCTGCAATTTATTTTTTTTGACATAGTGTTACACTGTTGCCCAGGCCTGGGTGCAGTGGTGTGGTCTCAGCTCACTGCAACCTCTGCCTCCTGGGTTCCTGCCTTAGCCTTCTGAGTAGCTGGGGTTACAGGTACACACTGGCATACCCAGCTAATTTTTGTATTTTTAGTAGAGACGGGTTTTACCATGTTGATCAGGCTGGTCTCAAACTCCTGACCTCAGGTGATCTACCTGCCTCGGCCACCCAAAGTGCTGGGATTAAAGGCGTGAGTCACCACACCTGGCTGAGAGTCTGTGATTTTAACAAGCACCACAAATAATTCTGGTGCAAATAGTCTGCAAACCTAACTTTGAGAAATACTGTAGGATAAGAAAGAAATTTGTCGGCCTGAGCTTCCCAGCAAGAGAACAAGGTGTCTGGAGAGATTGATGGGAGGGATGTGTGTTTGTGGCTAACATGGGTGGCCATCTTTCAAGGATGCTGTAGTTGGGGATGCACAGCTGCTTTGGGGAAGAGGTCAGACATAGAAGTCTCCAGGGGAGTTTTTAGTTTAAATGCTCTATTTGCTGTTTTCTTAGAACAACAGTTTTTTTGGGGAAAAAAGTATGTATAAGTAGATTGTGTATTTATATTCTAATTGAATGAACCACCTTTGAAGAAAGCCTACCTGTTGGGGCTGGGTCCAAATTACCATAACCAGGTACTACCTGCAGGCTCCTTAAAAAGTACAGGCAGAGTGTGCTCAGGGGAGGCCTTACTCCATCATCTATGAAATGCCTTTCACTCCTTCCCTATTTTAGCAAAGCAAATGTCACAAGTAGAAGTTAAGAGAAGGAAGAAGTCAGTGTGGGTTGAAGCAGACAGGCAGCTTCATGGAAATGGGGTTTGAGCTCAATTTTGAAAGACAGGTAAGATTTACATAAGTGGGTTTGAAGAAGAACATTTCAGGCAGGGAAGAGGAACATGAGCAAACTCACAGGTGGGTCAAGCTCTGTTCAAAGGAGGTGGCGGTCATGAGCCATGCATGAGCTCACCAAAGAGCATATGTCAGAGGAAAATGGAAATAAGAGTGGAGTTAGGTCTTTTTTAAACAAAAACTTGGAGTGCCTATCGTAAATGCTGGTGGGCTTAGGAACTGTGACCATGTCATACATTGTCTAAACCAAGACTCTTTTGAGGGTGAAAGTGGCTGCTGTTAATAATGATGACAGAATATTAGGGATAAAGCAGAGCAGCATTGCCCTAGCTTATGGGGACATTAGGGTGTCTATGTAAAATCCAAACTGCCCTGCAAAGCCGGGACTTCCTGCTGCCATGTGGACTGATATTTGGGAACTGATATTGGAGGGTACTGAAAGTAAGGCAGTGACTTCCAAAACCCTAGAACAGTTGTGGGAGACGTTTTCCTCAAGCTGCGGGGCTAAACCACGTGACCTTTCCTATTCTACAGTTCTCTGGTGGCAACATTTAATACAGTAGAATACCTGTGAGCACATACGTAACGGAATTAAATTTGTTCCCAAATTGGCAACAGCTCCCAAATTAGCAACTGTTTCTTTTCCTGGTCTAGATAAAAGAAAAGGATGCAAAAGTAATGAAATTGAAGTAGAAAGATCACTGTTTCCCAGCTAATTATAGACATGAAGAAACCTGAAATAACATTCCAGCCGGAATCACTGTTGTTTGGTGACATTTATTTTTATGTACATTTATTCATTTATTCTGTCAGCATTTGTGGGCTGGGTTCAGTACCCCATGCCTCACCGTTTAGCAGGCACAGCTGGATAGAAACTGCTCTCATGCTCTGGGGTTAGGCTATACAAACGTGTTTAGCCAAATATTTGCCCCTAAAGGAACTCACCCTTCCAGTAGTAATCCGTGGAGTCCATATCAGTATACACCTACTCTGAGACTTGAAAGACACTTGCCTACGTTGATACACAAATGTTCACAGCCACCATGGTCACACCGACCTGAACAGGCAACAGATCAGTAGCATGGGCAGTCAGAAGGAAACAGACTTTGTATCAGACTCACCTGGGTGTGAAAGGCTGCTCTTCCATTTGTATACTGAGTCAAGCTGGGTCATATCACTTCACCTCTTGTTGCCTCAGTTTCTAGATTTAAAGT